TTTAAGTAGAAGTTGAATTTTACAAAACTATTATCAATTCAATGTATCTCTTTATGGTTCTTTCTCAATAGAAATGAGTAATTCCATACTTTCCCATACTCAAATTTCCAGTTTTCCTTCAATTACATAAAAATCCATGGACGTTTCTACACCAGGTGGAGTTTAAGTGAAACCTGACAGAAAACCAGGAAGTAAAGGCAGGACTTTTCAGTTCTCAAATGCAAATATTTTTAAGTGTATTTTTTTTCAATGTTCATCTCCTGGAAATTACTGAAATAAAGTTATATAGTTTTCCACAATGTGTATGAATCATGTAAAACTGAAGGAAAGTGCTTATATGGATGAATAGCATATGTTAGCAATAAATAACTGCAGAAAGACTAGAAAAAAGTTCTTAAAGAGAAATCAGTTTCAGTTAAATTTGTTTTTGGCAAATCAGAGTTTGGCTGAATCAAGGGAAATATTGAAATCATAATTGAAATATTAACTTTATTAACAAATTAAAGAAAAACAATCATAGCTATTTTACATTTTTATAAAACAAAGAATTAATTAAAACATACATGTTTACAAAGTGTTATTAAGTTGTTTACAATAGGTAACTAGATTTTCTTAATTGATAAATGTCAATGATGATTAAGGATGCTACATAAATAAAGTTTTCTTACTTTAATTCTACTTATTTAAATCACATATGTGATCAGAAACAAGACACCTAACAGCTGATGGTACTGATGTAAACAGCACAGAGCTATAAGTGAAAGTCAGTTTGTAGTAACTAACTATTATTTTAGTAATTGATTATTCAATCAATTATTCTGTTGACTATTCTGGTAAAATAAAATGTCCAATTCTGCAGATTTCTCATTGAAACCACTTTTATGCTATATTAGACAAACACTTTTAGCTAAATTACAGCCCTGACTTGCAGCAAATAGCTGTTTTTAAAGTATTTTAACAATTAATCGATTACTAAGTTAGTTGACGATTATTTAAATAATTGATTCAATATGATAAATTGTTTCATCCCTAGTTTATAGTAAGGTACAGGTAAACAGACAGTAAAATCCTGCTCACCTGTGGTTGATGAAGCTGCAATCCCTCTTTGGGTATGGGTTGCCGGGACGATACCTGGTCCGGCTCAATATGAAAGAGTGCAGACAGGGCAGCCTGGGCAGCTCGAGCTTTGGCCAGCCTCTTGTTCCGCCCAGAACCCTGGAAGTTCTGAGCGTCCACTGTCACTGACATGACAAAGTTTTTGGCATGGCTCTCCCCGCTCTCAGACACAGTATTATATTTGAGTCCTGGCCTCATCTCATTAAGAATCATTACAGGGTTCTTGCCACTTGTCAAGGAAGTGAAGGAAAATGGATTAGGGGGCAGGGGAGACTGAACAATGTCTGAGGTAGGGGGAGGGAGCAATGGGTTTTCTATATCCAGAGTTGTGAAAGATCTCCTGCTGTTGGGGGCCAAGTATAATGGGTCGCCTAGAGCTCTGGATGTCTCAAAGGCATTGAAGAGCTCATCAGGAAAGTCCCCCTGGTCTGAGGTGAAGTCTGTGTGAACAGCCAGGGTCCGACCCATGGCCATGTGTGCTTCAGACGCGTTAGGGAACTGGACAAAGGATCGCAGGGCCTTCTCCGCAGCGCCTAGCTTGGCTTTCTTTTTTGTGGGACCTGAGCCGTCAAATACCTGCCCATTAACCTCCACAGTCATCACAAACACAGGCGCATGGACTGGGCCAGACTGAGAAAGCAGCTTGTATTGAAGTCCGGGCTTTATCTCATTCAGCTGCATGAGGGCATTCTTGGGCACAATGGGTCCTGAGACCTTTTTACGCCTTTTCGGCCAGTACTTGC